AAACCCTTAAATTGGCTTGGATTCTTCTGTTGTGGACTGCCTTTCCTGTCTCACGCCGACTACGCACCATGAACCTCGCCTGGCTTGTCCGAGTTGTGAGAGCGTAAAACCCTAGTTTAGTCGGATCATGAAGGCACCCCCCCAAAACTGACCTAAGCCCTAAGCCCTGATAGATTGTCGCACTACGGGCCGCTAAGAGGAGTCCAGGGCCCAGGAATAATTTAAGTGGCAACAGTTTAAGGTATGGGTTTAGGATTTAGGGTTTAGGTATGGGAGTTAAGGGAGAAGCAGTCTTCCCTTATAGTCCTTATCTCATTAGCTAATGTCTAAAATACCCCTAGGCCCTGTTCTAACCCTTGAGGCCCCTCCTTCAGATTACGTGCGCCCAAACGGTCTGGGATGTGGGACGGCTTCTCAGCCCACAGAATCGCGGTGCCCGAAATCGGGGTTCAAGAGGATGACCTAGCTCTTGTTTTGCGGGGCTTAGACTGGCACGCGTTCTAGGAGTGTGTAGAGAGAGACTTATGGTCAGCCTTGCTGAAAGCAATAGGGTAGAAAAAGGGCCGCCGGGCATGCTTGAGAAACCCAAAGCTTTTAGCAGGTAGTCTTTGTATGCTATTTGACAGCGGCATGAAGCATGTGCTCGCCTGCAGAGACGCTGCTGCCACAGATGGCAAAGCTTCCGCTCTGTACTGTGGATCATCGCGCAACCCCTAACTCCTTGAACCTTGAACCCTAAACCGTGAGTTGTGCTCATCTGTTTGCCGCAGCAGCTGCTTGCCGGAATTTGCTGCAATGTCGACTTGGCCCCCTGGCAGGGCGAAACTAATACATGAGCCCAGCCGATTCCACCCAAGTCACTGTAGCGGGCTGGAACACCTTGCCATCTGCCAGAAATTACGCAGTGGAACTTCTTCGATTTTCATGCGTAGACCAGGAGGCAGTTCGCAAAAGTGTGCCAGCTGATCTGGGCATGCGATCTTCGCGATCTTCCGCTGCAGGGAGCCGTGCACGGACTGCCCTTGCAACGTGCAGCAGCACAGAGAGCGGTACTGCACAGCTTTGGCTTTTGCCCAATGCGTCATGCATCGGTCTAACCTGTGACGCATGTAAAATATGTGTGTGCTTGAGCATTGCTTTCAATCACGCTTTTGAAATTGGCTCGACCAGCAGGATGATTGCCTCCCAACTTCCAGAGAGTTGGAATTGGTGTCGTCCTGAATTTTCATGGGGCAGTAGTTCGCTGCTGGCAGTCTCGTTGTTTTGTTGAATTAACATTATTCTGTCTTTGCCATCTCGCTGCTGCGAACTGTACGCTGGCCTCTTCTGGAGTGTGAGAGTCTGCACATGCCCCTTTCAAGCCGTGATGCCCTTTTGTGCCTGGAATGTGGGAGTTTCCACACGTGGGCGGTCCAGAGATCTAGATGGCAACAGTCGATCACATGGGCCCGCGAGGCAGTATGAAAAAACGGAAGCCCTCCCCTCCTTGTGGAAGCCACCATGTATAGTCACTATGAAAGTCGATTAGCCAGGTGGGGTGGGAGAGGGGCTCGAGCCCCATTGGTCCCACTCACCATCGATACAGGACAGAAAAAAAGCAGTGCACTTCCGAGCTACGGATTTTCTGGGCTTCTTCATAAATGGCTGTTCTATTTTAGGGTCCTCACAACCGGGTCTTACTTGTCGGTGTCGATATTCGCCGGAAACTAACATCTTAGCGCTTCTACTTAAATCCCAAGCCTCAACACACATAGTTACATGCTTACTCGTCAGCAAGAAAGAGAACGGGAGCGGCGACAAGAGGTCTTGCCTCAAATTTCCTGTGCTTGCATGACATGCCAAACCCGTAGAACGCCTGCAGACCTCAGCTGCACCCCTAATCTGGGGGGTTTAGGGAGCAGGGGTTGAGGATCACATATTAAATTTCGAGTCATGGTGCGAATCCCCCATCCAGATAGTCCAAAAAGCTTGATTTGAGGAATGGGTTCGCAGAGATTGCAATAGGAAGGGTTGCGCCACAGGGCTCCGAAACAACGACAGCCCTAAATCCTAAACTCCCCGCACCCCAAACCCGAAGCCTAAGCCCCTCGCTGAAGTCTTCAACAAGCTCCAGGAAGTTGTGACATGCTCAATAGATAAGGATAGGATAGGGTTTAGGGCTTTAGGGTGTGTGGCCGACTTCCCAGCTGATGATCAGAGCCTGGGTTCAAAACAGGGGGTTTATGACGAGTGTTACCGGGATTCCGTGTGCTTTGCCTTCAGGTATCAGCACGAGGCGGTTATTGTAAACTGACGAGAGTTTAACCCTAAACCCTAAAGGGGTAGTTCTCGAAATTAGGGTCCCTTTTAGAAGGGGTGCCGTACTATACTGGGGGCCTAAGAAGGGACCCTAATTTAGAGAACTACCCCAAAGTCTAAATTTACAGCTCAGATCTTAGGCTTACGGCTCCGGGCTCTGAGGAATAGGTTTTTTTTCGAGTTCAGGGCAGGTTTAGAGTTGCTTCGTTGCGTCGGGTCTCGGGGGTTTGCCACCTTAACCTTCATGGTAGATGAGTCGGTATACAGCTAGATCAAGCTGGCTGTCTAAGAATGTTTTGCGTGTACATACATTCATGCGTGTGTGCGTGTTGAATCTGACACTTGGCTCACCTAGCTTCGAACATTCTTTGCCAGTGGGGTCTCTTTACCTAGAGTCCCTAGTACCGTAAACCCTAAACCCTAGAGGGTAGTTTGCCGGGCCAAGTGGGCTAACAGCAAGCCTATCGGCAATCGCAGCCCCGAAGAACCGAACCCAGACCGATTTGGATCCAAAAAGTCTCTGTAGGGTTTAGGGTTTAGGGGTTTAGGGTTTAGGGTCTAGGGTTTAGGGGTTAGGGGTTTAGGGTTTAGGGGTTTAGGGGTTTAGGGTTTAGGGGTTTAGGGTTTAGGGTTTAAGAACTGTCTCAAGGAGCGACGCAGACCTTTTGCAGGCATGCGGCGGCTTCAGGGTTAACCCTAAACCATTGTCGAATTCAGGTATACTCTAGGTCGCTTGTAGCTAGAGGTATGCAAAGCCCAGCTCAGCTTATCGCTCGCTAGATGCCTCGCCCCGGACCGTCCATGCTGTGAGAGTCGAAACCTTCAAGCGTAAACCCTTGGACTTGTCTTCACCTCGAACTGGTTGTCCGCTTGTGAAAGCAAGGCAGTGAATGCAGCAAGATAATTTTATTTTTGGTTTCTAGGGTCTTAGGTTCATAAATGCTTGTATGTTCTGGTGCCTTCAGGGTTTGGCATCAGTTCCTGCGTTGATGTGCATGTTATCGTAGTAAGCTGATATTTTTCCAGCTGGTATTCGTGCCTGCTGCGAGTGCGTGTGCGAGTCGAAACTTTAAGCGTCGAGGCCCTGACTGACTCCAGGAAGGTTTCAGGAAATCGGGGGCCACCCTGAACCCTGAAGCAAAAGCCCTACTTCGTCTTGCTGTAACGTCAAACCCTGAGTAACTAAGCCCTACATCCCTAAACCCTAAACCCTACAGTTTACACCCTAAGCCCCTAAACCCTGAACCTGTGTCTCCGGGCCGGGGGCCTCGGGCTCCGAAAGCTTTCGGGTGAGGTGCAGGGTTGGGTTCAGGGGTTTAGGGATTTAGGGTTCCTGGGCTCGGAGCTGCGCGGCTTGGCTGATTATAGGGTTTAGGGTTTAGGGTCAGGCGCTTCAGAGAGACCTCGTTCAAAAACAGTTAGGGTTAGGATTTACATAGGGTTTAGGGTTGGGGCTAAGCTTATCAAGTCGGGGAGTTGCAAGTTTGCGGACAAGAGAGTTATGGAGAACAGGCTGGTTTTTTCCAGGGTGTGAGGCCATCTGTGGCAACTGCTGCCCGGCCTGCATAATGTACGTTAGTTGGGTCCTACTGGTGATACTAACCCTGAAACCTGTATGACCTAAAGACATGGTTCCCTTACAATTATACTGATACTATAGTACAGTCCACCCCAAAACCTGTTCTATTATGAAGTCCCTATAATTTTGGTAGTGTAGGCGGGCATTGCGTCGTTACGCAGGGGTTGAAGTATCAACCTTCGGATCTGCCGGAAACCAGCAAGCAGCCAAGCACTTGCAGCTCACAGGCAGCGCATGAACAGCTCTGATATAAAGGTTGGAAATGTTTGGTAATAGGACTCTTTGTAGGGGCATACAAAAACTGTAGTCTCAGATATCCTCTTCGCACAACAACTGCTATTTTATTTCTTAAGGTCTTAAGGCCCCTATATTTCTTTTTTCTCCGTTCTTTTTCTTGGATCCTTCGTCGCGAGCAGCAGGTTTTCAAGGCTTTCCCGGAGGATGCAGACGTGCCACTGCCTCATACGCGGGGTTTCCCAAAATGATCCAAAAAGGGACTTTAGTTTAGGGCCTTAAGGAAGTGACCATACGCTCAGTTTAGTGTACAGCTTGTGATTGTGATGATATTCTAACAGACAGGTGCGAGCGAGTTGATCGGGCCGTTCGAACGGGTTCCCTCCGAAGCACCCAAGTGGTCCTGATAGTGTACCGTTTGGCGCCATACGGGTTTCCGTCACCAGGGTGATCGGAACTCTGTCGAAGAGATTGGCATATTTTGGCACAAATATATTATGGGCGAGGAGGTACTACTACTCATGGAGTACAAGGGGCAACGAATACTACTACACCACCACCGCCACGACTACGACGACGACGACTACTACTACTACGACGACAACTCCTACTACAACACCACTACTACTACTACTACTACGACGACGACGACTACTACTACTATAATACACGTCAGACCATGTCAAAACATTTCATTTATCCAGGCTTCCGTCCATGTGAGTACGTTGAAAACATCCTGTCGAGCATGCATTTCTACGCCTTGCTGCATATAGCTCAAGGGGCCACTCCCGGCAGTCCGTCTGCTTTGAGGCAAAGCTTCTGAGCCATGGGTCTCGCGTTCACGAAGATATGGCAACGCATGATCGGGAAGCAGGAGATGCGAATTTTGATGGTCGGTTTAGATGCTGCTGGTAAGACAACCATTCTCTACAAGTTGAAGTTGGGCGAGGTGGTCACCACAATTCCCACTATCGGCTTCAACGTGGAGACCGTGGAGTACAAGAATTTGTCATTCACGGTGGGGGGCTTGGTTTGCCAGCTAACTTCCAAGCCAAGCCAAAGCAAAGTAGCTGGCAGCCGAGTCTAAGACTATAGTTAGCGGAACTGCAACCGCAGTCTTTCGCTGGCGACTCTGTCCTCTGTCTTTAGCTTCGTCTAGCTTGGCTGAGGGTCAGCAGCGATCTAAAACCCCCGCCCGCCATGTCACTCAGGTCTCCGTGATTCGAAACCGATTTCAGCCGAGGTCTGGGATGTTGGTGGCCAGGACAAGATTCGCCCCCTTTGGCGGCACTACTACCAAGGCACAAACGGCTTAATCTACGTTGTTGACAGCAATGACCGGGATCGCATCGAAGATGCCCGGGAAGAGCTGAACAAGATGTTGAACGAAGACGAGATGCGCGATGCGGTGCTTTTGGTCTTCGCCAATAAGCAGGACTTGCCCAACGCCATGACTGCAGCAGAAGTCACCGAGAAGCTCGGATTGCAGAACCTGCGCCACCGGCAGTGGTTCATCCAGTCTGCCTGCGCAACAACGGGAGACGGTCTCTACGAGGGGTTGGACTGGCTCTCCCGGACACTCTCCTCAAAGCGATGAGCTCGCCTAGGAGTGAGGGCAGACTTTGTGGAAGCGTATCATAGTGTAGAGTGGTACGCTTCGAGGAAAACATTTGTGCTCGCAGACTGTGCTCGCAGACTCGCAGTCCTTCGTTTTCTTGGCCTTTAGTGGAGGGGTCGTTGCGCAGAAGCTTGTGATTGGGCGCATCGTTGTGTAGTTGATGCTCCAGGAGACCCTTGGCCGTCAGATTCTCTGCCGACCGGTGCAGTTCAGAAGCGCTTCAAAAAGTTGCCCAGCGTTCGCACACGTCCTGACTTAGTGTCAGAGCCGTTGCTCTTAAGGGTTTAACTGGTTGGATGGATGGATGCGGAGGTGGACGCTGAAGCCATAAGTATAAGCCCCTGTTGAACCCTATTGCCCAGATTATCGACCACATATGCCCAAAGAACTAAACCACTTGCTTGATTTAATTTTTGTGTCTGTGAAGCTCAGTGGAGATCCTGACAGGGGAACCCAGAGAGTCCATACCTCTTAACTAAGGAATATACCTTCAATTATAGGGGCCTTAATCTTACCATGTAAGGTATATTCCTTCATTAAGGGGTATTGGGCTCTCTGGGAAGCTTCAGAAGCCTTTTACGCTCAGGCTGTGCCCTGGCTGGCGCGACCAGCTGGCTGATGTTCTGGTACAGCCGTCGCGCTTGTTTCTGTGACTTGTGTATTTGGAGCCTAGGCAACCCCGAAACCTCACACCCCCTGACACTAGAGCACTAATAATTGTGTGAAAAGCCGGAGGTGCTGAACTCTGAGTTCTGGCGATTGCACGAGTCCAGCTGCTAAAACAAGCGGAGTTCTTGATTTAAATCCTGAACCCAGAGCATGTACGATCCTAGAACATGGAAGGTGTGCAGAAGACCACGCTTACCCATAATCATAATCGTCAGGCACTAACTACTCTAAAGGAATACAATGACCATAGCGCGCGCAAGGGTAGTGCCTACAATCGTGTTTGCAGCCTTGTGACCTGTAGCCGAATTGTAATTGGAAGAAATGTACTGTGTGTCTCAATCAAGGCATCAAAGATAACTGCTCGTGATGCTGCGACTAGTGGTATGCACGACATAGCAGGTCATGTGCTGATTGCCAACGCTGCGAGAGCCGAACTGGGAATATACCACCTGCAGAAGTTTTCACAATGCGTGCAACAGGAATCATGGGAAATAGTGCTGGTTGCCCGCTGAGAAGCAATTAGAGAGTACAGAGGAGATGCTAGCAACGGCGCCGTCATCGATGAAAGCGACAGAACTGCCGACTGTGATGCCAAGGCTGCTACTGATCACATTTGTGTTGAGTGTTGCAGGCCGAACTCCCGGGCTGCCACAGATGGGGTGCGAGAGCATCGGAAGAAGAGAAAGGACGTCGCGCCTGCAGACGGTTTTGCCGGCCCTGGCCTTCTTCGAATTGGCACAGGAACGTAAGGAGCATGGTGGGGCCATGCTCTGCTCTAAGTCTAGTTTTTAAGAAGCCTGTGACAGATGCAGAACACAGCCTTCGCAGCATGGAAGCTGCAGTCATAGCAGCCTGGGAGTCATTGTCACCGCAGGCACGGCCAAATAAGGCGAATGAATGGCAGCTAAAGTCGCAATACCGTTGTGGCAGGCACACTATAGCCGATATTCGCTGTCTGGGCAGGCAGCCGAAAGCAGGAGTAGCAGTAGCAGCCACAGCGGCAGTGAAAGCAGCCACTCACGACCCAGAAGAGCCCTGCTTGAGACCTTGCACTCTATGTATGTATATCTATATATATATACACACATATAGATATGTGTATATATATATATATTATATTCATCGTTGTTATTGTTTACTAGTTTATTCTTCTTCTTATCTTTATGATTTCTTTTATTACTATTGCAAATGAATTACTATTGCTACTACTCGTACTATTGCTATTACTATTACTATTCCCATTACTATTATTATTATCTACTACTACTACTACTACTACAACAACAACTACTACTACTACTACTATTATTACTGTTATTATTATTATTATTTATACTATGTATTGTTTGTATTTCTTATGATTAAGAATAATAATAAGAAGAAGAATAATAATATATATATATATACACACATATATATATATGTTACATACATATACATTTTTTGAGACGGGTCCTTGACAAGCTTCCACAGCACCGTCGTACCTGGTGTCTCAAGCAAACCGCGCTTTGCTACGAGGACCTCCCCAAACCTCAAAAGCGGATCTCTCACCACTTCGGCTCGCAGCTACCAACCTCCGGGATGGGCATGGCTCCTTCGGCAGACGTTGGGGGATAGCTCCATCGGCAGGCCAGGAAGTTGAATCTCATGGAATCAGTGCCTGGAACCTGCAACCAGTCGTAGCCGAACATCTTTTCGCATCTAGCCTTGCACCCTCCCGCAGTATCGTGAAGATTCCCAGGAATCTCTGAAACGCCAGGAATGAAAGCCGAAACTCTAGAAGAGGGGTTTCGGAAACATGCCGTGGCTCCCAGATCATTTTTGGATAGTATAATGCACTATAGTAAACTAGAACAATGTGCTATAGAAAGCAAGAACATACTACCACATAACATAGTGACTATGACATGATGCAGTGAAACTGTGCCACACGGGTTCAGGTGAGATTTGAGTTCCAGGATGTGCGAGGGGCTCCTGAGCTGTCCCAGACCCAACGTTTGAACTTGCTGTATTCTCTTATGGCTTGGTTTTGCTCCGATGACTTTGGGTCATTGACAAGGGAAGTTCGAGCTTTTTGGGACCCTGCTGACAATCTACCTGCTTCCTAGCAGCATGTCAGACATAGCGCCCATGATCGGGGCCACCAGCTTCTGGGGTCTCGGGGATTTGCTTCAGAGTTTCGGGGATTCTCAGCAAGAACCTCTTAAGACTAGCTTTGCCAACAGCACGGCTTAGGATACAGGGGTTTATAGGGTTTCGGGATGAGGGATCGGAACCCAAACCCTGAACCCCAAACGATCCCCCTGCGAGTAGACAACACGAGCGCTGCTGCCCTGCAGCAGCCCTGACATTTTCGACTCCCTCAGTTCTAAAATCGAATCTTCCGGTGTAGTTTTGCGGTGTTCCATGGGCTTTTGGGGCACAGGATCCAAGGCTTCTTGAAACCCCGAGCCTTCTCTTTGTAAAGTGTAACATAGAAGCCTGAACAAGCACTAATATAATTGTAGTATACTGCAGTAAGTAGGGTTAATAGAGGGGCCTACTTAATTTACGTAGGGTGTAACACCCAAATCCCTATTCTGATTTGTCAGGCCCCTGTATATGAGGGCGTCGGATCAGATGGCAAACGCTGGTTTGGCAGAAATCCCTGCCTGATCTGCTTGCTCTCGCCGCTATAGACTATGAGACCTATGCCGATGCCAAGCGATCCTTAGCAAGTCGGTTCAGGGTTTAGGGCACAAGTCCCAAACTATTCCAAGTTCTTGACGTCTTTCAGCCCCAAAAACCTAGCCTTAGCTGTTGGTGTCCTTTTTTCCGCGACCGAGCATAGTTCGAAAGCCCCTGTTGCAGACATGAAGCCTCAACACCCCGAAAGCAACCACTGAGAGAAACTGAACAGGACACCGAATATAGCGGTCAGAGTACTTGCCAACACCATCCTTGGGTTTCCTTCGTCTACTTGTACAGCAATACGTGCAGATCCCAAACCCTGTTCCAATTATTGCGGCCCTCTTTTGTGGAACCCTTGTTATGGAACCCTTCAAAAGGAACCCTTAAAGGGACCCTGTTCTACCTAATAAGGCCCCCTTCCGAGGAACCCCGAGCAGAGCCCTATTCAACCCATCACCTGGACCCCAAAAGTATGTAGAACAATAGCCTTTTATGGGTTTTGGGCCTTTATTTTGCCCTAAACCCTAAACCTTTTGGGGTTTAGGTAAGGCCCCTTAGAGGGAGCCCTGACAGGAGCCCTATCTCCCGGTGGCATGTCGCGTTCAGAGGCCTGGTTCCGTCGCCCGGAGGTTTTGGGGGCTGGACGTTAGGGTTTAATGGGGGTATAGGGTTTAGTTAGAGTGTAGGGGTAGGTTTCAGGTTTATCTTCTAGGCTTGAGAATTTCGGTTCGGGGTCTGCTGCTAAGATTGGCAGATGTTCTGCCTGAGGAAATATTTGTTTGTTTAAGCGTTTCTGGGTCTAGGGCTGTAGTCACGAGTTTCGGTGTAGGACTGTCGTGTGGTTGAGACCAAGGCCTCTCATGTTCAGTTGCGGTAGAAGGACGGCGACTCTGAATCAATGTTACGATTTTGGGGTGTAGGGCTAAGGCGGTGGAGGGCTTAGCGCTGAAGGACTGGAATTCAGCAAACATTCAGCTCACATATAATATGCTCAGTTTCGGAATTAAGGAATCAGGGTTCAGGGTTTCTTACATTGATGCGAAGACTTCGTGCGGCAAGCCCAAAGATGTTGAGCCCTGGCCAGCTCAAGGTCACGACGGTTTGGGATTTCAATGATTTCAGGGTTTAGGGTTTGGGATTTAGGGTTTGGGATTTCAATGTTTTCAGAGTCTTACGCATCTTGCACATATAGTTAGCTTTCTTTGGTGGGTTAAGGGTTTGATGCCTGAGATCCGTTTTCCGTGAGCCTAGACCCTAAAAGCCCAAATAGGGCTGACCTTCACACCCCACCTGACCCGCCCAAATCGCGAGTGGCTGAACCCTAACCTGCCAATGAAAGGTGTTAGGCACAGGATCTCTGCAGCAGCCTCATAGTGTTTATATATACATGTATGTGTATATATATATATATTACTATGAGGCTGCCGCATTTTTCCTAATATGATGTCTCTAGTAATGTTTCGATGGTATGACGATGACGTAGCAAGACGGCTCAGGCTATATCCATTCGGGCCGTTAGGCCATCGTGCACTTGTTTTGTATTGGCACACAGCAGTCAGAATCTAGCCCGAGTTGGGGCGTCAGAACTGCTGTCCATTTGCATTTTGCTGTCACGGGATGCTACCCAAGACCACACGCAGCCATACAAATATCGTTCGTTGCCATAGCTACAACATGTTTTGCTAAGAAACCCACCAGCATTGTCATCTTAGTTTGAAGATCGTTATTGTCGTAAGTCCCGTCGGAACCATTGTCATTGTTGCAATGGCCGCAATGGTTGTCGATGTGGTGACCTTCCCCTCCTCCTCCACCCCCCCCCGTCCTGAGTCTCCGAGAGCCCCAACTCTCGAGCCGAAACAGTATGCCCAACAAGTTTCATTCAGGCTTAAGTGGCCTGAAGTCCTAGAGCTTCAAGCTCTCAAAATTGACTTGGGCATTTCCGATATCGCTGGACCCTCAATGTAGACTCCAAGTACTAGGATTCTTGCCTTAGAAGCGCACTCAGAAAGGATCATTGAACACTACTTCTGTTCAGTCTGGCTCGCCGGTTCATAGCGTCGTCAGCGATGCCAGCCCAACCTATGGCCGGGTGCTTACTGGAATGCTCATCGAGAGCAAGAGTAGGGTTGTATAAGGTTTCTCATGTAGGAAACGAAACCCGGTTTAGGTACAGTTTCTGTCGGGCTTAAACCTGATTCCATAGTCTTTTCACAAGCCCATAAGCTCTTTCGAAGCTTTAAAAAATCTTATAGCCGCTAAACTCCAAACTCTCACGTCCTCAGAATGCTAAAGCTGAAGCTGAAAACTTAAACCCAAAACCCTCCAAAACCAGCAGTCCCTCCCTACGCGCCAATCCCCGAGCGCTAGGGACTGCGACTTTACATGGAGCTGGTAAGACCAGGTTTCCGCAGTTTAAGGCTGGGTTAGAAAAGAAGAGGTTAAGGAATTGAGGGCTTAAAGATTCGATTCAAGTCAGCACGGATTCAAAGCAACGGGTTTTAAGGGTTGAGGGTCTCGGGTTTCCTGAACTAAGCTCCGTACTAGGTGGCGGCTAAAGCCGGATGCAACAAGGCTTTCAGGTTGTGGCAAAAACTTCAACCCTAAGCCCACGGAGCCACAAGACCCTTAAACCTTAAGCCTACCCGAAGCCCTAGCAACTCGTAGTAACCCTGTAACGGAACCTAAAACAAGGAATCCTAAACTCCCGCGTAGGTTTGTGATCCATGTGGGTCTTGCGAAACGTAAGCCATGCAGCCGAGCCCTCGCGTTTGGGATCGCATGGTCTGCAACTTACATAATCGTAGTAGTCATCGTAGCAGTAGCAGTAGCAGCAGCAGTAGCAGTCAGTAGCAGTTGTAGTTGCAGTTGCAGTAGCAGTAGCAGCAGTAGCAGTAGCAATAGCAGCAGCAGCAGCAGCAGCAGAAGTAGTAGTGGT